TTTGTAATTTTCAATATTGCAAACATGACCTCACATTTACGGTGTTATTGTGGTAGGGATGCATCAAATCTAAAATCAAACTGCAGGGTCTTAAAGTAGAGATCTCAAGCTTTAATTTAAAAAAAAGAGCATAACTTTGCGATGATTTTTCACGGAGTTATCATCAGTCGAATTTGGCCAATTTTTGCCTAAAATTTTTCTATGCCATATTTCTTTTGAGCAGTGTAGAAGCTGTGAAAGAAATGCCACAGCTAACAAACGTAAAGTAGGTATGTCAATTTCTGGGACTGGTCAGCTATTTTCGGAAATTTATTAAATACTTCGCTGCGATCGTCAAGTCTTTAACACGGAAGAGTGTGCCATGGAAATGAGGAGGGGCTCAAGAACAGGCCCTTCGTCAGCCAAACAGAAGTTAGTAAAATGTCTAGTGTTACGTATTTGTGATCCGAATTTACCTAACATATTGCACACGAATGCAAGTTCGATGGGGGTTGGAGCAATGCAATTGCAACAACAAGAAGATGGAAATTTAGTGGTAGTAGCTTCTTTTAGTAAACAAACGACAGCGGATCAACGGTATTATCATTCAAGTAAACTAGAAATGATGGCTGTTACTTTTGCATTAGGATATTTTAGGGTTTACCTTTTAGAATGCGTTGAGGACCACTCTCTCGAAGAAAGATCAAGAAATAGTTAAAGGTTTAAGAATTCACTTTTGAGATTGCGTATCAACCAAAGTCACGGATAACGCACGTGGACGCACTTACAAGGGACCATCCCGAAGTGATGATTTCCGATTTTGATGAAACTTGGATATAATATAGTTCTCGAAAAAATATTCGGAATGGTTTAAATTGCAAAGTTGTGTATTTTTTAATACGAAATCCAAATATGCAAATGGATTTAAAAAATTCGCATTTGTTTAAATAATATCTTAAAAAATTACACTTTTTTGTTAATTTTTCTGTTTAAAAGTTGTTATATCTTCCTGTAATTTTTTATGTGAAAAGTATACTAGTAAGTATAAAATACGGATAAAATGGAATTTTCATTTTTACATTGTAAATATAGTTAATGAAGTTGTATTTTTATCGTACCTTTGCGGGACGCGGCCTCGAATCTAAATTTACATTACAAAAATGTAAAGAGTATAGCCGGATAAGGTAGTCAAATGTGCCCTTGAGTCGAATCAGAAACCCAATTCGTCAGTCGGTAACATATCCAAAAAAAACTTCTCACACCAAGTTTCAATTCCCTATCTCATTCGTGGGGGTAATAAAAGGGAAAATACGAAATTCCGGTTTTTGGTCCTTTTTGCCTATTTAATTTTTGGCCCTTTTTGCCTATTTAATTTCGTACAAAAATTCTGAAAAATTCTAAAACATTGAAGTCCATATAGCGCATATTATAGAATTTTTTCAGATTTTTTGATCGCAAATTGCAGTCGTGAAAAATCAAAAATCGAAAAAAAAATCCGAAAAAATGCAATTTTTTAGTGAAGATGTCGGAGCACTACTTTTATATTAATGTGGTAGTTAACCCCTTAACCTACAATGACGGGCATAGCCCGCGTACGATGGTTGGGCCAGAAGTAAATATTACGGGCATAGCCCGTATAAAATGAACGAGTCAAACATAAACATTACGTTTCCGGCCCAAAATTCTCGAGCGTAAATCGTAGGTTAAGGGGTTAAATACTAGTACAACTATTATTCTTTAATTTTTTCAGATTTTTCGGTGAGGTGCGCCGTAGTTAAAAAAATCAAAAACCGATTTTTTTGCGCGAAAAACAAACTTCTGCTTTGAATTTTTATGTCATTTTTCCATAAAACATGTATTACTTAAGTAATTTCAATACATGATTTACGTTCACATAATTACGCTCGAATCATCTCGAGTGTGCACGGTTTGGCCTGTTTAGCGCGCTCGAATTATGTAACTCGAGAGTGCAAGTTAAGGGGTTAACCTTAAATTTAACGAATATACAACAGATTCTACATAAAACAATGTACCAGTCTAATTCAAACTGTCAAAAAATAAATAATAATAGTAACAATTACACATTTGCGCAAATACTGTATTATTATAAATAAGAATTATGTAAAAAACAGAATAATTATAATTTTAACACAAGTTATAAATATAACTTTTTATTGCTACACAAGATTACAGAGTCAAAACATTTAAATATTGCACTTAATACCCGCAATGATAACCTTGTCTCTGTGACATTTTGCAAATTCTACCTGGTACAGATAAAGCATACTTCAAACAATCATCTACAGTAAATTCTTGCAAAGTTGCAGTTATAATATTTTGCAATTCTTTAATATTTTTTAGCTTTTTCTCAGCTATTTTTAACTTCAGAATAGCCCACATATTTTCTATCGGCAATAAATCCGGACTTTGTGTCGGCCAATCCAATAAATTTATATTATTAGTTTTAATATAATCCATAACAGTTTTTGCTTTATGTATAGGCGCATTATCCTGCTGTAGAATAAAATTGTTTTCTATTAAGCGTTTTCCTTCGGGTATAATTACATCTTGCAACAGCTTCAGGTAAACTTTCGAGTTCACTTTTTGAGCTAGTGGTACAATTTTCCCAATGCCACTAGCCGAAAAGCATCCCCAAACCATTATACCTTCGTTCATACTTTTGTGTCTTGGTTTTATACAATTCATTCCGCTTTCTCCACACGTACATCCTACCATGACAGTATCTCATACGAATTATACAGGGTGTCCGCACCAAAGTATGACAATGTGATATCTCATGAACTATTAATATCACGAAAAAGTGCTTATATGGAAATTGCAGGGTAAAAGAGGCCCTATGTTTTGGCGGAAGCAAAATTTTTTTATTTTTATTAATGTAAAAGATATAATGGTGAAGTTTCGTTTTTTAAATGGAACTATATATTTTTTTTTCCATCAGGCGATAGTGTTTTTCAAGAAGAATTTATAAAGGTTTTATATACTTACCCGATTTTTATTAGTTTTCGAGATATAACGCTTAGAAATTTACTGATTTTCCGCAGTTACGTCTCGGTTTGAGTAGTAAGTCATAAAATCGGTCTTATTGTTGCAGTAAATGCCGCGGGTTTGACTCTGCGTGCCGAAGCTGATAGCCGAGGGTCTACGGTCCCAACGGTAAGTCCGAAGAGTACGAAACGGAAAGAATTGTCCATCATCCTCGATGCGGAAAACTTAGAGCGTAATGGACAATTGTCCACCTGTGGGTGGATATAATAACTCTGGGTTAGTATATCAATAACAACCTATTTGTTTGCATTTCAATCTTCAATTTGTTATTGTTCTTGATAATACAGTTTTGTAACTTTGAGGTTACAGTGGGCTATTTTTATTATGGCAAATTTCGGTACATTTAGGATAAAGCTTGTGAATTCTCCTGTTTTCAAATTTATACATCATATACGCAAAAATGAATACAAAATCCAATAGAAATTACTGTGGAATTAGAATTAGACGCATTAGCGTTAATAGATCCGATGATTCTTTATTAGATTCTGAGTCCGATGAAGATGTGGTAGTGCAGCGGCCTCGTCGCTATCATTCGAATATAAAGAAAGCGTAGGTATAAACTCGGAGATTTCTCCGGGTGAAAGTGCAAGCGGGCCCACATTTGGTGGCCACTTGTGCGGCCAGGGTTTTTCCCGGTTTTTGGCGACGCGAGGCTAGCTTTCCCGCCCGTTTTTGTGCGGGCTTTCCTGTATAGCTTTGCCGCCTTGGCAAAAGGGCTATAAAAGTCCGTAAGAAAGCGGGCGAGGGGTCAGTACCTTTTTCAATGTAACGGCGTTAGCACGGGTGTTTCGGAGTTTTGTAATAAAGTATTTCTACGCGTTAAAGAACGTCTTACTAAATAACCTGTATCCCACAATAGTATTTCCCCGACGTCGGATATATGTCATTGATAGCGACGACGAATTTAGTACCTAATCCTCATCAGACGAGGAAGGTACAGGACCACATAGAATTGTTTGGCAACCACTATCACAGATGAATAATAATTGTTGGTATCGCCCTTGGAAAGGAGATTGCCCTAATGACCCCAAAGCACCCCATCCTCCAATGGCGTATTTTCAAAAGATATTTGACAAGGAGATTATAAGGAATATAGTTGAATATACCAATATGTATGCACTGCAATGTGACCCAGCAAAACTCACTGCTGTTTCAGTAAATGAAATCGAGCAATTCTTTGGCTGCTGTTTTTACCAAGAACTGAGATGTATTGGAATTCAAAGACAAGAGTGTCCGCTGTTGCCGATGTTATGAGTCGTACGCGATGGAGCATCATAAAATCAAAAATACATTTTAGTAGAAATTTACAGACCAATGCAAGAAACAATGCAGAAGCGTCCGATAGTTTGTAAAAAATAAGATCCATCCTGGATAAATTCGTGAAAAATTGTAATCGCATTCCAATGTCTGAACACGTATGTGTTGACAAGCAAATTATACCATTCAAAGGAAGACAAACGCTAAGACAGTATACGCCCAAAAAACCTAAAAAATGGAATTACAAAGCGTTTTTAATGTGCGACGCATCAAGAATCATTTATAATTTCGAAATTTACACCAGCAAAGTGATACACGATCTTGAATTACTTAATGTCGGAAGTAGTGGTAATGTGGTATTACATTTAGCCAAAATTATACCCAAATAACGCTTTTACAAAATTTGTTTCGACAATTGGTTTTCAACCGTGCCTTTAGTAACTGAATTAGAAAAATTAGGAATTCAGAGTATTGCAACTGTGCGGTCAACCCGACTAAAAAATTGTGAGTTTTCGTCCGATAAAATCATGAAGACTAAGGGCAGAGGAAGTTCTGAGATACTCTCTGCATCTATCCATAGAGTCATCATAAATGCGGTAAAGTGGTACGGTAATAAGACCGTTCATTTCATGACCACATTTTGCGAAGTTGAACCAATTGATATTGTGAAAAGGTGGGACAAAAAAATAAAAAGAATGATCGATTGTTAAATGTACAATCTAAATTTTGTGTACGATCTAAATTCAGATCGTATCTGAATCGGATCTCTGATAAAGTTAACTTCGTATATACGCATTCGATTCTCGCATTTGAAGCTATCGCAATGACAGAATTTATCTCGATTTGTACGATTGATTTATATAAATGTTCTTTGACGATATTAATTAATATTAGCGCTTTATAGTCTACCGCTGCGAGGAATCCGACCTAAGTGTGATTCTCTAAGTGTACCTAAATACGCTTTCGCAAAATCTAACGTAGTGTAGTCGACTACGGAAATTACGCTAGAGCGAGAACAGTATTCTTTATTAACTCAAATGACCAAAATTTATCTGAATCTAAGGAATTACTTCTTCGGAACAATTACTCTTATAATTTGACTCGACAACTAAATGTCCATGACCCTTTCTGTCAGAGCGCATACTGACACCCAAAACCAGATCGCTTAATTGGGGAGCC